TTGTTGAAAGTGAAGCAGCTATATGCGGGATTCCAAAACTGGACGAGAGCTTTGATTAGGGGTTCGTTTACTTTCACATACAACAGAAGGGCGATGTCACCATACTTTTGCCAGAAAGAGTATTTCACCTCAGAATTCCAACTTTCCCAAATTTCGCGTAACTCTTGCAAATCGTTTTGCTTTAGACTGACCGGAGCAACCTCTGGTAGTACTGATATGTAATCTTCAGTCAAACTGTCGCCTTTCTTCCTCTGAGTTTCCTCGGACCACGACCTCACTTCTGCGTTATCCACTTCCTTGTTATGAAAGCTCTTGTCCATTTTATGATCGCCTTCTACTTTTATGACCACCTTGTGAATCACACCTTTCTTCATGAATGATGATGCAATGCAGCGGTAATAAATAAAACACAAACAAAAATAAAACTGTATTAGTATATACAATGAATAGTCAAAGAATAAACAAACAACATGAAGATAGAAATATATACATCCTAAACCTAATTCACATGGTATCTACCCAACATGGCGTCTACCGAATCATGCTTTGGTAGATCCTACCCGACATGATATTTACCCACATGTTTTGTGACTCATAAAATCCTAACCGCATGGTATCTAATTCACATGCATGTTTGAGAAATAAACCTAACCACATGATCTCTAGTTCGCATACTTTTGCAAAAAAAAAAAAAAAAAAAAAAAAAAAAAAATTCGAGGGAAAAGTTAGAATGAGTTTCCCCTTTGTGTCTGTGGACAGAGATTCAACATAAGATGGGCAGAGTTTCAGTATTTCTAAAAGGGTCCTCGAATTGTCCTTTGCTGGTGCCCCCTTGGGCTTGCCAGACCCTCGATCCTCGCCCATTATAGGCTTAAAACGGATCAAGTTCAATTTCGAGAGGATACATTTCCCTATGTCCATGCGAGGAAACTCAATGTTTCACTCGTAAACATAAGGCATGTACCCCAGAGGTTACTAGCTAAAGCCCATGCGGAGAAAAATAATTTTTCTCACGTAAGCGTAGCTTTCACCCCTACCTAACGGGACAGAGCACAGTAAGAAGGCTCTAAATATCGAAATGGTTGTAACGACAGTGAGGGGAAACCCATAATCCTTTGCCTCGATCCAAGAAAAACAATAGACTAAAACGAAGGTCAGAAAACTGAAACATGTAGAACACATTAGTACAACTATTTATTCATTAACCAAATTACAAATTAAGATGTAAATAAAACAATTCAAACAAACAAGGGATCAAAAACCAAATTAAAGCGAACTTACAAATTTCGTTTGCAAAGACAATTAATTAATCGACGATCGGCCAGACTCTCTAAAAAAATCCCCAGCGGAGTCGCCAAGCTGTCGAAACAATTTTTAAACCCGGGTGGGGGCAGATTTGGAAAACCGCGTCCTTTTTAATTATTATCTTTTCAATTGGATTTTTAATTAAAAAAACAGTGCGATTTTAGAAAACCTCTCGTTTCGAAAAATTAGAAATTCCTTTACGATAAAATATAAGGTTCGAGGAGTCGCCACCAATCTTTGATTAGGATGTGATTGGGCACCCAAAAACATTGTCATTTTAAATAAAAATCAATTTTAATTAAACGACAATTTACGGTCTACGTTACCAAAATCCAAGTTCGGGAGTCGGTTACGCGTGGGGAAGGATTAGCACCCCCACAACGCCCTAAATCGGTACCTAGTCGATTAATTAATTTCTTTGCAACGAATTTCACAAGTTCAAATTTGATTTGATTAATGATCCCTTTAAACAACAAACATGCAATTTGCAACATTCAAAGCAACAAAATAGATTTAATTTAAAATTACCAAGTCATTAGAAAGATAAAGAATATTCGATTATTTAAAAATATCGAGACCAGATCTTTAGTTCAGTTCTAACGACCTTTTCTCGAAAAGTTTAAATAGTCGAATATTTCCTTTTCTTTCGCTCCCCAAATTTTACAATGATATATCCAAACTTAATTAGGCGTTACTGACGGGATACCATTTTAATTTAAAATCATCAAAACAACTTTCCTGTAAGTTAAGAAAAGCCATTCTGATAATTTTAGATTAAAAGGGTATTACCCTTAATTCCGATTATGTGATCAGATCGAGTTATTCACGTGAGGCTATCATGCGAATTATGCTGATTGAATGTCATGCAAAGAGTAATAAATATTATGATCAAAATATCATGTAATTTGAAATAAATAAAAAGAATAAATAAAAAAACTATATACATATATTTTAATTAAAAAAATACAAACCTCGCATGTTAACATACGATGTACAAACATGACTTAAATATATTAATAAAAACATGACATGCAACATTACAAAATTTGAATACATAGATATGCATATACTAAAGGAGTGACTAAATGTGAATAAAACCAAAATTGAGCATACCAATTAACAGGTTAGACAAGGGCTAAAATAAAAAGAAAAATAAAGCATACTCCTTTCCTAAACATTTCATTTCAAGGTACTGCAAACATAATACGACCAAAGCTTTACATAGGATCAAAATGAATATTTCCAAAATTACATATCCAATGTATAACAATCACGAAAACAACCCTTGCATGATTCTGGACTGAAATGTAAAACGCTGAAAATTACGAGGCGAAATCAAAATATCAATAAAGCTCGGCTTAAGGATCAAAACGAAATGAAACAAAACTGGGATGGCCACGCTCACAATTAACCCCTCCCCAGCAAAACGCGGGCGTTTCTGGATCTGCACAAAACTACGCCGTTTCACGGCCACCTAAACGACGCCGTTTTGGCGTTATAACAAACCAAATGGTAGATTTTTAACCCTAATCTCATTTCTTCTTCAGCCTCACCAAACCCGCCGTTTCACTCTCATCCTCTCTCTCTCTCGATTCTTCATCTGGTTCAACCGAGACCTCGCCCTCACCACTCAACGCCACCGGCTGGCCACCAGTCCTCGGTGGCCACCACTACCCCGACGACCACCTAGACCAACTGGTCAACCCAAAACAAGCCTAAACTAGACAACCCCTACCAGAAAACTTCAAACTCCCTCTGCAACCCCGAAAACCAAGCCTCCATCGCCAGAAAACTCAAAGATCTCCACGGCCGCCGTCTAAGACCGAGACAAACCCCTACCAGAAAACTTCAACCCCATCACGAGACTAACACTAGACTTCCCGAAAACCCCTAACAGAACCTCTCAGCCGGCTTTACCCTCTAATACTCTTACAAAACCAACCTCTCCTTCCTACAGACCTTAGACCTAGCTTTCTCTGAATCAAATCCCTCCTTCCTCGCCCAAACCCGGGTGAAACCAAAGAAACAGAACAGAAGAGGAAATGACGGCTTACCCCTGGTTACTCAACGGGTTAGGTCTTTCAAGCGACAGTGATGGCTCCAGGAAGGTAAAAGTTTTCACTTCTCTCTTTGGTTGTTTCGTTTTTGGGTCTATGGATTTTTTGGGTTGCTGATGGATCTCAAAGATGATTATGGTTACTGCTTTTGGTGTTCTCTCTGTGTGTTTTTGTTGTTGTTGATTCCCGTTCTCTTTCTATTTCTCTGTTCTCTCCTGTTGCCGATGACCGAGAGAGACTGTTCCCCCCTTTTTATGATCACCGTTCCTAAAAAACCCTCTTTTCTTGCGTTTTTGTTTTGTTTTTGTCTTTGTGCTCTGTCTCTTGTTTGGTGTGCTTGCAGGTCACGGGTGCGAGCTGGTCACGAGTGCGAGCTGGTCACGGGCTTCAGGGAGGACTCTGTGAGTCTGCGCAGTCGGTGGAAGCTGACTGGTGGAGACGAACGGTCGACAGAGGCTCATTCTGGACGTGGAAGCGGCGCTGGGCATAGGCAAAAACCCTAATGGTCCTTTAATCTGGACCGTTGGATTAGGAGCAGATCCAACATCCAGGGTGAGCGGCGGCTGGAACCAAAAGCTGGAAACCCTAACGGGTTTTAGGGTTCTCTTATACTTGGGCCTGTTTGGTCTGGCCCGTTTTAGTTGTAACTCTGGTGTAGGCCCTGTAATAGTAAAAATAAATATACTTAATCCATGTTATAAATTATTATTATTTTATATTGCAATTTTATGCCATATATTTTCATGTTAATAACTAACAAATACCAAACTTATGCTAATAACCCTAATAATGATAATAGTAAAACCCCATTAAAATTAAATAACGCCCCGGACAAATCGAGCATCTACAATTAGCATTTTCTATTTATGTTACTAAAATTGCTGTTTAGATCAATTGTGTTTTCTGCTGAAAGTAATTATTGCTGGAACATCATATGTTTTCGTGAATGGAATTTCAATTAGTTTTAATCATTTATATTGCAAAGTTCAATCTTACTTGGATAACAATGCTGTGTTTTCAAGCTTGGAATTATACTAAAATGGTCGACAATATGTTCTCAAGGTAGTTAATTTGTTTGTCGATGCAAAAAACTTATTTTTTTTTGTTAAATTTGATTGTTTTATCGAATTTGAAATTTTGTCTCGAATTCCTTGCACTTTAGAATTCCTTTTAAAGTGAAAATCATTAAAATTTTAACCCAAATTCGGGTTTACACAATTAATGAATATATAAATTATGATAAAACTAAAAAATAGAAAATCTAATCCGATTAAAAAAAAAAGAAATCTAATTTGATTGAGATCGTAGAGAACTTAATTTGATTAAAAAAAACATATTTACTTTAATTAAAAAAGTAAAAAATCTACTTTCAATAAATTAATATCAAGTAAATCTTCTTTGTAATTATATATTATTTCTATGAATATATATTATAGATTAAAATTAGAAATTAAGGTTAGAGATGATATTATTTATGGAGTACTTTATAAACATTAGTTAAAGTCAAACGCATCAAGAAAACTTAGCCCATTGAAACCCAAAGAATTATCAAATGGGAGTGAGTTGTCAAGAGAAGAACCCCTTTTAATCAGTTCAGTTCCCGTGCTCCTGCCTTTTGTTGATTAGCCTACACTTCCTTATGGTCTTGCTTATTTCATTTATAATCCCAGAAATTATCTCGAAGCCTTGCACGGCTAATCGAGCAAAATACGAGGGCTTAGATAGTTTGCCCGATTCCATTCTTTGTCACATCTTGTCGTTCTTGCCCAGTAGAGATGCTGCTCGTACCTCAGTTCTTTCACCAAAGTGGAGGTATTTCTTTACTTCATCGTTGACTACACTCGATTTCGATGATTGCTTAGATGGGATGTGTTTGACTAAAAATTCTATGAAGAACTTTAAGGTGTTTGTTGATAAGTTCTTTTTTAACCCTAATCATCTACGATTAGAGTGCTTTAGGGTGAATGACCTGTGAGTGCGTGATGGTCAACTGGATGATGATCTTTTAAGCATTTCTAGTTGGCTTTATGCTGCATTATGGCGTGGTGTTAAGGAAGTTGAGGTAGACTTAGCTAATGGAGCCTGTTTGATATTGCTTCATCTTTTGTTTACTTGCACTTCACTGTTGAAATTGGAATTGTATATCCACAGTTGGAAAATGAAGGTTCCAAATAAGTTGAATTTACCTAAACTCAGAACTCTATATCTTTCGGACATGTCATTTGAAGAAGGTTTATCAATTCGTAGGTTAATCTCCACTTGCCCTGTGCTAGAAGATTTTGATCTTTGCCATTGTTACATTTATGGCACAAGTGATCTAAATATCCGTGGTCGTTCACTTACAAGTTTGGTTTTAGACTCCGTAATGCACTCCTCACATGAAGGTCATAGACATTTCGATTACGTGATCCAAGTTGATGCTCCAAATCTTGTCCGTTTCAAATATTCGGACTGTGTTGGCAAAGGATATGCTTTTAGAAACACAGAGTCTTTGGAAAAAGCTTGTATTACAATCACGCACTTTGATGATGTGAATCGTAATGAATTCGTAACACTTTGTGGAATTTGCAATGTACATACTCTACTTTTAACCATTCATGATAATAGTGTACTGCTTTCCCCAAAGCCTGACAAATCGGTGCTTGCATTTCGCAACCTTGTTGAATTGGAATTTAGGAATCCCGGTAGTGATTGGAAAGGAACATGGATCGTTGAGTTTCTGCGTTTTGTCCCTAATATGAAGAAACTTATCTTGGATTTGGTTGATGGATATAGAGGAATGAAGTCGCTCCCTCAAGAAGCGCCTCCTTGTTTGCTGTATCAGATCAAGCAGATTAGTATTTTATCTTTCGAGGAACATAAACAAATGTATGAAGTGGTTAGTTATTTCTTGAAGCTTGCATTAGTTCTAGAGAAACTCGAGTTCGGGGGTGCACGTCAACAGAGTATTATAGAAAAACTATTGAGTTTACCCAAGAGTTCAAAGGAATGTGAAGTCGTGATTCTTTGTAGTTCAGGGACACATTAGTGGGTCAGTACAACAATCTACATATTGTTGTATTTCAGTATAACAAAAAGAACATGTTAGCTCCATTCAAGTCAACAATGTCTCCACCGCTCCCCATCAAGTCAACAAGGTTCCACCGCTCCCCATCACACTATGGATAGATGGCAGGGAGGTCAAGTCCCATGGAAAGGATACTTACTAGGTTAGCTCCATTTTATATTTTTTTCTTCTTCTAACAATGTCTCATCCAAAGATTAGAGGCCCATTCTGATGATGTTTGGACTACATTCTGTATATTAGCTTCAGGACATTTTGTATATTTTACTGTTTGGACTACATTCTTGGATCTTATAAAAGTTTCAATTCTTGGACTCACCACTCCACTACCTTTATTGTTGGGAATCACGGTCTTTCTCGCTTCGTGAAGTTAAGATAGACACTTAGAGATTAAGGATAGTAAAGAGAGTACAAGAGTATAATTCTCTAATTTGGAGATTCTTTCACTATACAAAGAATAGTAGGATTATAAGGATGTGTTCACAAAATTTGACTCACACTTGGTGGCTCACTCAAGCTTGAGGATAAAGACTTCCCAAGTTATCTCTCTTCTCTCTCAAAGAGGCTCTCTAACTCTCTAGTTTCTCACTCTAAGAAGTTGACTCTCTTAGTGTTCTAGGATTTCTTGGGTGGTTAGGAATGAAGTCTCTCACCCTTATTTATACTACTCCACTTTCACAATGAATGGTGGAGATTATTTACATCCAAGGGTGGAGATTAATTATCTAGAATGCTCCACAAACTCTAAGAAGCTCTATACTCTTCCACTCCCTTTCATATTCTTCCATACTCTTCCATAAAGTTCCACACATCTCCTGAATTTTCCAGAGGATTTCATACTCTTCCACAAGCTTCTAGAGAGTTCTATACTTCTCTAGAGTTCTCCAGAATGTTTTAGAAAATTCTACATTTCTCCATAAAGCTCTAGAATTTTATATAACCTCTTCAATTAAAGAGAGGTCCAACATTTATTTTCCCAAAAAGGCTCTTGCGCTGTCCGAATCTTTCAATTGTCTCCAAGATAAATATTGTACTACTTGTATTTTCTTTCTCCGTCCTCTGTATTCTGCTTTCCTCTTGATTGTGAACAAAGCTTTTGGTACTAATGAATATGTACATTTTTTCCCTATAATGTTTACGTGCATATTATAATATTATGTGAAAAATGTAAATAAAAGAAAATAGGTAAATTTCACATTGGACATTATGCACATTAATCATTTTATCAAAGCTCAAGAACTATATTAGATAAATAACATTCGCAACAGGCTTGAACATTGGTCTGGCAGGAATTTAAGGTTTCCTGGTAGGCTTAATTTGGTGCGATCGGTGCTGTTTGGTATTGTTAATTTTTTATGTAGGCAGCTTTTGATTGTAAGTTTCTGTTTCTTTGGTTGCACTAGAACCCAATATTTCATCGTTTTATTTTCTGCCTCGAGTTGCATTTGTGTTTTCTTACAGTGTTCTACCATCAAAATAGGCATAAAAAAATTAGACATCTACGTAGGTTTAATGACGTCAAAACATTATCCATTGTTAGAATCGTACTGTACAGAATATTACTTGTGGCGATATAATTGTAGATGATCTTATTGAAATTCTGATAAGGCTAAAGAAGGTAGGAAACCTAATTAGATTGAGAGTAGAAAACTTAATTTAATTAAAAGTAAGAAACATATTTATTTTCAATGTTAATTAAAAAGTAAAAATCTACTTTTAATAAATTAATATTAAATAAATCTCCTTTATAATCATATGATTATTTCTATAAATATATATTAAAGATTAAAGTTAGAAATTAAGGTTACCCATATATTGGGGTGTTCAAAATCAGGTGCCCGTATTTTTGGGTACCTAAAATACTGGGTATTCGGGATATTCGAGTTCCAAAATATCGGTATTTATCTCCGCTTGTTAAGTCGGAATATCTATAAATTGAGTACATATGAAACTCGGGTATCCACACTTTTAGGCCATGCATATTTGGTTTATTTTTAATTTTTTTTTAAATTATATATATATATATTTTAAAATACATAGAGAAAAATTTAAAATTTAAAAGTCTCTAATACAGAATTCACTCGTAAAATTTTAAAATTTAAATTACATAATTAAAAGATAAAACTTATTAAAATTAAATTAAAGAAATATAATCAATTTTAAAATATTTTGAAGTAATTTAAATTGTTAGGTTAAAATAATTTAAGAAATTAATAATTTAAAATATTATGGTGAAATAATTTAAGAAATTAAGAATTTAAAATGTTATAATGAAATAATTTGAGAATTAGAAATAAAAAATCTAATATAAAAAAACATGTGAGAAATCGAGTACTAGGCGGGTAGCGGATTAAGCATTATTTTATTACTAGGGCCCGACCTGAAAATCTGCCAAAAATAGTGGACTGGGTACCTAATCCAAAAATTCGAGTATTTTCACTATAAATGTTCGATAATTTTAGATCAAATCAACAAGTTAACAGGCCAAATCATCTTGATAAAATATTTTTAAAGACCCCTACTTTTAATGGTCCACTCTGAAATTAACATAAATTAAATTAATCCTTTTTCGAGAGTACCTAAGAGCAAGGGCGCATCTCAAGGGGCATGCACGGAAGTGGTTCTCAAAAATGAAAAAAATAATAATAATTTAAGTCCCTTAATAATTGCAAAGTTGTAAGTTATACAATGGTGAATTGGTTTTTCGAACAAAAAAATAGACTTCAGTTTAATCCCTTGAAAAATCATAAAGTTTTCGTGAGTACAGTAACAAATAAATCATTTCAATTAAAACAATTCTTAATAAAATATGTAAAGAATTAATTTAAATTAAAACAAGTTTAAAAAATCATTCAAAATGTATATAAGATAAAACTCGAATATGAATATCCGAATACTCAAATCCTCAATCTTTCTTAACTTTACCTAGCCTTCATTGACGTATTCATTTTTCCTTTTCTATTAGTGCTTTTCATTTATGGTTCCCAAACAAGCTGGTTTGTTAGTAGTGCACAAATATATTGACACATGATTCCGTAACTGAAAGCCTAAGATACCTTGAGCAACAAGATTACTCTTTTTTAACGTACGAGAAACCAAAATTTAGCTCGATTGATTCATATATATAACTCTTAATAATTTGAAATTTTCGATTCTTAACATCAACAATTTCATTTTTTCATACTATATGTATGTGCTTGACATGTGTTTTTTGGTTTGATATTTATAAATTTCTCGGATATTCAAGTTCGAATATGTATACGAAACTCGAACTAACATGAATGAATGAGCACCGGAGACGGTTTCTTCATGAAAAAAGTATGATATCCGCATTTTTAGCAAGTTTTAGGGTTTTGATGTTGCATGAAACTGTTGATTGTACTATTGAGGACTGTTTTTCATGTTCACGTAATCCATTTTTCATTAAAGGAAAGGCAATATGTTGAGTGGGTTGATAGATTCGTATACCTGCACAAAAGGAAAGAAAACTCTTCACGTAATTACAATGGCGGCACATGGTGTTGGTTATATGTTTCATCCTGCCAAAGCTTTGATGAAAAATAACAATCTTTGAATCGATGGTGTCATGGACTCGAGTTTTCAATGACGGGAAGCCGTTTCTGGCTATGATTTTGATACAGTTGAGTTATGCCGTGATGTCGATTGTCGCGAAATGTGCGCTGAATCAGGGGATGAGTCCAAATGTATTGGTAGCATACCGGTTGGCTGCCGCCTCTGTTCTCATTACTCCGTTCGCCCTTGTTTTAGAAAGGTCTGTTTTTCTCTGTTTACGATCGGTTTCGGTTCGGGAAAGTTACCGTCATGATTTGGTTCTTATGCAGGAAATCAAGGCCGAAGATGACACTGAGTATCTTTGTCAAGATAATGCTGATCAGCTCACTCGAGTAATCTAGAATCCGTCATATTTTTACGGTTCAAATTATAATTGAATACTCATTTGATGAAATACTGTGTATAGGCCGGTGCTTGATCACAACTTCTTCTACACCGGGATGAAGTATACGACAGCGACGTTTACGGCTGCTATGTGCAACATTCTTCCTGCCTTAACCTTTGCATTGGCTTGCATCTTCAGGTAATGTCCTACTAGATTTAGCCTTCTTTTGTTTCTTGTACGAACTATTGCGATGATGGTTTTATCAGGCTCGAGAGAGTGGAGATCGGGAAGGTGCGTAGCCAAGCGAAGGTGGCTGGGACAGTGGTGACGGTCGGAGGAGCAATGATGATGACTCTTATCAAGGGGCCTAATCTAGAATTGCCGTGGACAAAGGGATGGAACCACCGCATTAGTCGATCCGGTACGAGCGGAGCTCACAAGCAAGATCTAATGATCGGTGCTCTTATGCTCATTGCAGGCTGTTGCTGTTGGTCTTGTTTCATCATTTCTCAAGTAAGAATTCGTTAATCTTTCGCCTTGATTCTTACACGAAATCAAAGGCTAAACGGCATCCGAAACTGACACTTAACAGGCAAGGATCCTAAAATCATACCCGGCTAAGCTTTCCCTTACTGCTCTCATATGCATCATGGGCACGGTGGAAGGTACCCTTCTCGCATTAGTAGCGGAATGGCACAATACATCAGTCTGGCGAATCCAATTCAACACCAAACTCGTTGCTGCTCTGTATGGCGTAAGATTCGAAGTTCGAGTACATGTTACTATCCCGAGAGTCGTATCTTAATACCCATATTAACGGATTGTTCTATGTGCAGGGGATGGTGACTGCATTCGCCCTATATACAATGGGGTCGGTAATGAAAGTAAGGGGTCCGGTTTTCGTGAGCGCTTTCAATCCGTTAGGCATGGTTATCGTCGCGGTTTTAGGCTCCTTCTTCTTAGCCGAAGAAATGTACCTAGGAAGGTTCGAATCAATCTCTCTCCTATATCATCAGACCGAATCATCTCTGCAATTTCGAAGTTTTCTTGATCATGATTCTTGTTTTGCAGAGTAATTGGCAGCATTGTCATTGTAATCGGCCTATATCTAGTTTTATGGGGTAAGAGCAAGGACCGACCTCAACTAAGGTCGGAAGGCACGGTGGTGCGAGCCGATCGACAAATGGATACTATTAATGGTCAAATAGAGAATCCAGACCCTGAATCTATTATCATAGAAAGATGATTAGAAGCATATGTGAAGTCTTTCAATTTTCTATATAAGGAAACCAGAGATCAACCACACATATACATACACATGATGAAGATTGATTAATTGATTAAAACATCTAATCTAACTGATTGTAACTTCAACATTGGATTAAATATTTTCATCATCTGGTTTTATTATATAAAGAATTCAAATTCGAACATTCAGAATAAGATTGAGAATAATGGCAAAATACCGTAGCAGGTATGTTATGCTTGAAAAACGCTCACCTAGCTACAATAATTAGTCATATTTCTTATATTTCAACAGCCTATCAATATCATAATCTATGTTCTCATAATTTTTTATACATTAAGATTCATATAATTAGACATACATTAATATCTGAGTTGAGTCGATTTAAAAAATTTCGAGTTGACAAGTCTTATTTTATAACTTAAAATTATTTCAATTTTTCAAGTCGAGTCGAATTTATTAAATTTAAGTTGACTTGAGTTTCTATTTAAATTTAATTGTTAAAAATATAATGTTATTGTATTATTTGATTCTAATTTAAATTGTTTTTTATTACCATATATAATATAAATATATATTTTTTCATATGTGATATACATATATCTTGCAGAGTTGAGGGACTAGACTCAAACTTGAACTAATCCACCAATTACTAAAAATTTCTTCGAGTTCTAGTTAATAAGTAGACTCAATTTAATTTTTTTAGTCGAATCAATTCAAATTGAGTAAAAAAAAATTATTTTTTTCTAATCAAATTCCGTTTTATTCATCCCTAATTATTGTTTGGTATACAATCTCTTGAAATTCAAATGGTTGGCCCAACAACAAGGCCCTTCCACCCTACAAATGCAAGAAATTGAAAGCTCAAGGGCTTGTTTCAGTAGGAGCTTCCCCCCCCCCCCCCCCGTATGGTACATCCACACTTATATTTAAGAATAAATGGCGTATTTAATTTTATTTTAGTCATTTAACTATTTTCTTTCAAAAACATATCTATCACCATGTTTTGATTATTTATTGTTAGAAAATAAACATAACTACTGATGTAATAATTTTTTTAAATTTTTTCAATAGTGACACATCATTATCACCATTAATTTTTTAACGACATGTGATCAAAACATAACTAAAATGTAATGTTATATACAATTTTGTATCATCACAAGAAATATTATGTACAACACGATACCGATTCAACAGTGACATTTTTATCTTTATTTTTAGCCACCCATAATTCATTAGCCTCAATAAATATTTACGAAGATTTAGTTTATTTTGTATGTGTGTCTCTGACAATAGAGCACCGTAAAAAAATAATTTTATCATTGACATTATTAATCTTTGTGGCGAATTAGATTCTCTTTTTTTTTTTAAATCCACTATGCTCATGGGATTGACTCACTTTTTCTTTTTCAAGTTTTTTATGGTCACGTATTTTCATTTTATTAATACATCGCTCAACATAAAATCCTCTTTCATCTTCTAACAGAGAAAAGTAATCGATAATTGCAATGCCTAAAACTGTTGAACTCTGTATAACACAAAATGTAATAGTCTTTCTCTATCCTTTTTATCATAACAATATAGCTTTTACAGACTCATAACTCCATCTTCACTATATGCACCATTAAGAATTAAGAGTACTCAACAAAATTAGATTCTTCTTCAAATCTAGAATGTGTCTCACATTCCCAAGTATTCAAATAATTTCATCAAACATTTAATCTTAATCTTAATTGTACGAATGTCAACGTCCTTACATAAGGCATTATTCCCTATAAAGACGACATATGTAGGCAATACCTTAAATGTTACAAATCAGTCTCGATTAAGAAACATGTTAGATATTGACTAAAATTCTAATTAGGAGTTGGATTTTATTGTAATTCAACTTATTGAAAATTACTTGGTGATTAAGTTTATTTAGTAAGAATTTTTATTGAATAAGTATTTGACTCTATAAATAGAGAGTACATCTTAGCCTTTAGAATTTTAAGAGAAAATTATTTTAGAATCTATAATCATTTTGTAGTTTTTATAACTTTTAGGGTTTATGTTGTGAAGATAGATTTTGTTGGATTTGAGATACTAATTTGGGATTCACTAGGTTTTGGTATAGATATTGAGTTTTGAGATATATGAGATATCATCTATTTGTACTATTTGTGATCTTTACATTTATATTTGATTATTATTCTACTCATTTGTGGAGGCAGACAAAGTTGAACCACGTTAAATATTGTCTTTTACACGTGTCTTATTTTTCGTTGGTATCGTTTTAGTTATTTCTCTACTCATAAAATCCTAAAAAGTTGTATTAGAGATATGATTCAAGTTATGAAGTTTTAAAGAAATTTGTTGGTGCAAATTTTTTTAGCGAAATTAGAGAACTGCAAGAGGAGTTTTTGCTACAATGAGATTTTCAACTGCAATGGATTAATTATCGATCAATCCAACGATACTTCAATAGATATTAAGTAAGATTGGAGTTTTTAAGATTTGACGGTGAAGCTTCAGCATATATTTGGCTTACATAATAATTAAAATTGTTCAAGATTCGAAGATCAATTTTCTAATGAAATTTTTGTGAAATGAGAGATTGCTAGATATTGACGCAAATTCTAATTAAAAGTTAAGTTTTTTATTTAATTCTATTGGTTGAAGATTACTTGGTGATTAAATTTATTTAATTTATAATTCTTATGAAATAAGAATTATTGGTAACCAAATATTTGGCTCTATAATTGAGTGTGTATTAGCCATTACAATTATGAGAAAATTATTTTATAGAAATTTTATTTTTTATATTATCCGTAACTTTTGAGGTTTACATTACATAAATAAATTTTGTAAAAATATTGGAGTTATTTGAGATTTGAGATACTCTTAACCTTCCAAAAAGGATGCATTTCTTATCTCTTTATTGGGATATTTTCTTGAAATCAAGAACATTTAATTGCACATATTTAATACATTTTGTATATCCAAAGTTTGTGTGTGCGCTTTATTGATTTATCAAAATATTATGTCACTTGGGAAATGATTATTTTGTGGTATTGTGCGTAGGAATTAATGGAGTTGTCATGGCAACAAAAGAGAAATCTAGAGTCAAAGTTGCCAAGGCAAGTGGAGAAGAGGAAGAAAAGATCCGCCGACTATAAAATTCAACCATCTGTCATATCCGTCCAGCTACTAGTCAGCCTGTAAGTTCCTAGTAGTCTATCACTCCTTTATTGATCTTTAGGAGATTGCATTCAAGGAAACAAATCGAAGGGAAAGGGAATCAAGGCGACGTGATTTTTGACTCAATTTTAAAAGGTTTTGAATTTGGTGATCATCTAGAAGGCCTTATATGGATCTTATGCTCTTTGAATATTGAGGGTCGAGTTTAGGGTGTTACAACATTCACTTAGATATGCATTGCTTGGTTACTTCTTGTGGCCATTGTAAAGAAAGAGAGGTATTAGTTTAGCCTTAAAATATGGAGTGATTTTATCTTAGTCATTTATAAAAGATAAGAGAATGTAAAGGTTATTAGAGAAGTGTTCATGGAGTGCCAGCTTGTATAGATCGTTTTGAGTACCACATTCAAGAATCTCGTTGATTTTTGGTTTCGAAGTTGTGAGTTGGTATTGGAAAGCTCTTAATTTATCTATTTTGATTCCTTAGAGTTCTGCGGTTTTGAAGTCTTGAAATGTAAGGGTTGGTATATTAGCCTTTTTTTTTATTGGAATGTCTTAACTCTGATGTGCCTTAATTTGTTTGGGTCGCATCGTCTCTCGTGGTAGTTACTTTAGTGGTATTCTACTGGACAAAAGTAATAATCAATGTGGTGACCTCGAATGGTGATTTAGAGTTTGCGTAGGTGTGTGGATCTTGAGTTCGGTGGCCGATAGTTATCTGGGCAGAATAATCGAGTCCGTTACAATTACAAAGGCTAATATACGTTGACATTAATCACTTATGGGCAGTCTTTCGGCATATATCGATTAGACCCCCTGGGTTGATGGTGTTACGAAAGAAATGTCATACTGCTCCTTGATCCTCGAGTTTCATGGTGTATAAATGAAATTGGATAATTCTGTTGGTTGAAGTGGTTTCCATTGTTGTCGGTTTGAGTTGGGTGTCTTAGGGTGTTTTATTGATATTGGTTGATGATTGTCGGATTTGTAATTCCTTAAGCTGTAGTCTTTACCTAGTTATACTATATTCTTTTCCTCCATATAAGTTTAGAGAGGTTTTTAACGAGATAAGCAACTTTGATTTTGAAATTGTTTGGTTTAATACTTAATAAAACCATATTTGTCGAGATACCAATCAATCAATCACCGTTTGAACATATATTGTGGCTCTTTGTTTAAATAAAAAAGATCGACATACCCCTATTTCCATCAACAATTCTATTTGCAACGCATAATTTATTTATAATAATTAAGCTGATTAAAGAACAATGAATTCGGGTAACCAATTTAGAATAATTATAAATCTAATTTTTATGTCATAGGAAGTAAATTTATACATCCAATATAGATATAGATTGAATTGATAGTTACTATATAAAAATTATTAAACTATCACTCAATATATTTTTCCAATCCAAGACCCTTTTTAACAAATAATATTAATAAACCAAAAAGAAAATGAAACATGAAAAGAACTGAACAAGTTTAGTTTAAACCAAATTTATTTGTAATGATAAAAAGAACTAAAGCAACCAACACGTTTGTCCATACCTAGATAAACTATTCCGATGACAATCATTACAATCCTCGTATGTGGAAAGTAAATGTCTATCGTCATTTATTACATCTCCAGTACGAGATTGATGAAATAACATAAGTACTAAAACTCATAAACAAGTTTCTCAAACAGCTTCATGTGGGAAGTTTCTAAGCGAGTTACCAGTGATAGGCTCCCATCATTACTTGGACTTGGTATCACGTAAATTTTGCCTTCCTGCACCACATTTGCTGGTCCCATATAAATGGGGCGACCCCATCCGAAATCTGCATCATATATAGGCAACCGTGTCCATGGAATAACATTAAGGTTCGGGCATCGGAAAGTATGGGATCCTCTGACCAAAGTGTTTAAATCAGACACTTTCTCAATGTAATCAATGGCTGATCTCAAATATTCATCATCAATCTCCTTTAATCGTCCATGGATCCTTTCTATGGTATAGGCTAATGATTCGGTTCCGAGATCGCCGGCTTCTGCTATCAGTGCAGCCATAAAGATTACATTACCGAAGTAGCCTTGTGGGAGAGGAGGATTCAATCTAAACCGACCATCAACTGGAAAATACAGCTTGGTGGGTTGATCATCAGAAAGACCCCTTGCTTTACTTACACAACGCCATATATGTGCAGCCAAGATGTTGAAACTACTATATTTTGCAGCACTGTTTGCATTTGCTTTGGCTTTGGCTTTCAGGGTATTCAATTGATCAACTGAGAGCTTAAAGGTTGAGACAATGGATGGCTTAAGATCATGTGATGGAGAGTTCATTAATGGAGATGGATCATATTCAACATGGTGGAATTTAGGCATTGGTGGATCTCGAGCACGAAGAAGAGTTCGATCAATGAAGGGGGCGATTGCAGGTGACAGCCCCCTTGCAGTGTCAGCCCAACTATTGATGAAATGAAGATCCGATGTGCCATCTCCTAAGGTATGTTGCACCCCAACTCCAAGACAAACTCCACCGCATTTGAACTTGGTTACCTAGTAAAATGTACTGACCATAAATCAATAATGAAAAATGATATGGGTTTGACTCTCTTTCCATCAATATTATCATCAATTGAGCTCAAATTGCCACTTTGACACAATAAATAAAAATTATTTATTTATAAAATATTTTTATAACTACTCAAGATACTATTTAACTTTTAGAATTATATCATTTATATTATTAAACTTTTAATTATTTTAATTATAACAATAAACTCTGATTTTAACTTCAATTATACCATTAGACCATTAAAATTAAAATGAAATAGACAAAATGATATCGTTTTAGTGTAATTATCAATGCCCAAAACAATATCATTTTAAACACTAAATTTTAAGGGTACACTTATTTTACTACTAGACTTTTAAATGGTTCACTTTCCGGTACTACACTTTTCTGATCAAAGTTGATAGAAAATGTCGCTTTTCACCAATCACTATTCACGACAAAATTGGTAGCAAAACGTTCGTATTTTACTACTCTTCATTCTCCTAAAATTAGTTTCTATTAAAATCATTCAAAATCAATGAAATTAAACAAAAAACATATACAAATTCGGGGATTTACAAGCTTTCTCGATTTTGAAGCGTTTGCTTAAAAATTTGAAAAGTGAAAAGTATTATTTCAAAAGATAAAAAACATACTCTAAAACTAACCTCATTGGACTACTATAAGAGGAGATCAAAATATTAGCATGTCGAATCTTTAGACGAATATTTATCATTTTTAAGTGAATTTCATAAAAAAATAATAATTCGATGAGAAGTACAATATGAACATTTTGATATAAATCTTGTGAGACCAATGATGGACAACAATTGGCCGCTAGCTACGGCTGGGAAATTTTAATGCCTAAAACATAATATCTTCAAAGTTTAGTGACCAAATCAATGCATTTAAAATTCAATATATAAAATGACACCATTTTAAGCATAAGTCGCATCATCATAATGTCCTATTATTAAAATTTAACGGTTCAATGACATAATCAAAGTTAATATCAATGTTTAATAATTAATATTACGATTAGAGCAATTTAAAATTTAATGATATAAACTATATATCATCTAGCTCAATGATTCAAAAGAAATACTTCAAAAGATTACCTGCGATACGAAGAGTGGATAAGAAGAAATTCCTGCAGAATAGTCGACCTTAGGAACTAATTTCAAGACCTGAGAATCTTCACTAAAATCACCAACTAAATCATCCATGACTGAACTAGTTTCAGCTTCCACAAACAAAACTCCTTCCCCGTTGCACAATATTTCAAGTCTTTCATTTTCATCAAATCCCAACCTTCCAGCAAAAGGATAAAATGGCACAAGAATCTTGCTCAAAGCCTCCTTAAGCTTTCCAGTGTCAAAGAAATCAGAAGAACCATTAGGCTTATAGTAGTATATTGTGGGGATGTGGTACCTTGTCATCACCACGTCTAAGTTGGAGTTCCATAGACTTTTCTGGGGAGTTTCTTCGGCAGGACGAACAATCGTGGACGCCTTTATGGTAATCTCCATCTATGATAAATGAGTTCAAAAACATGCATAAACTTTCAGTGTTATTGTTTGATGGAAGACGAGAAAGAAAGAAAAAGAAAAAGAAACGTAAGGATTAAGGATTAGAATACCGAATATTCATACCTTGGAATAGTCTAAACAACTTGCCGTTTGAGAATGAGGTACGTGGCTGTGTGTTTGATTGAGGCAAGTAATATAGGATTCCAGAGCAGTTAGTTTGTTCGGGGTCGAATCCTAATGATAGCAAATAGGGTAAATTAAACTAAAAGGATCGTATTATAATAGATTTTTGTAAAATTTGATTTGGATTAATTTTTATATTAGATTCTAATAATTATTTCAAAAATAAAAAGACTATCAAACGATGTGAAGGGTCAGGAAAATAATTTTTGTGAACTTTCAAAATTCACCCCATCAAAAAATAAATTAATGAACATAATACTTTTTAACAATGGTCTGAATTATAATATTTTTATTTTTATTTATGCACTAAAAAAAACTATTTTAAAAAAACAGTACCTTCTTGATAAATGAATTTCTCTTTAGTTGTACTTTTGATAGGATGTATCTCTGTTGATGTGATAGAAAATTTTAATACGAGTTAAGGTCAAAATGAAAGAAACAATTATAAGGGGTTAAAAATACTAGAAAAATTGTACAAGCACTATTTAAAAAGAACAAATGCACGAATATATGTCAAAAATATATAATTGAACAAGTTAGGCCGAACAAGAATGGTAATATTTTCAATCACTCAATAAATATATTAATATATTAATTAGAATGTTGTATTTAAATGTTTTTAAAAAAATTATATTTAAATAATACGAGATTTAAAAATTTTATTCTCAAACTTATTTATTTTGAGTTGTTAAAGACAAGGTTTGAGTTTGATAAGACATACATCAGTACAAGTAAAGGCAAGTTTAAATATTAAGATTTCACGTATTTTAGAAGATAACAACACTCTTTTGATTGTCATATTAACATGTATTTGATCAAATTTAAAATACATATTTTACAGATTAAAATCACTAAATTTGACTATGAGATTTTAAGCTTATATCAAATTTGTACGATTACATCTTTTATACATATAGTATATATTATTTTTACTGAAATACGTAGGCTATGTCAAATGCACCTTCTAGAAATGTGATAAATAAATATTTTAAGTGCTATTAATATAAATAAATATTATTCTCATAAAATTATCGTTAAATTAATTTATTTTTTATTTTTTAAAACTAGAAATGGGCCGGCATTTATTAAAATCAACCAACAGGAGAATAGTTGAAAAACCAAAAAAAAAAGGAAAATGGTTAGTTTTCTGTACGATAATTTAATATAAAGTTAAAAAAATATATTACCGGAAATAATAATATTTTTTAATATTTTTGATATAGTACTATTTAAAATATTATTTTTTCTGTCAAAAATATTAATTTCGTTACTTAAAATAAATATTTTCGATATTATATTTTTTATAGAAAAAAAATAATATTTTAAGTAGTATCTGATATTAATATTTATGATAAAAATAACATTTTAAATAACACTTTATTGAAAATACTAAAAAAATATTAATATTTTTAATATTCTCTTTCTTTAATGGACTTATTTTTCGTAGATATTTATGAGAAAATAAAGCAAAGATATGTTTGACACAACAATGCAATCCAGCTCATGAAGGATAGTGGACAGCAAAATAAAATGCGGCAGCTGAAGATTAAATGGTGTGGACGGTAGGAAGAAAGGATTAAATGGTGTGGACGGTAGGAAGAAAGGATTAAATGGAGACGGTTGAAAAGTAAAAGTCGAGGTTGATGTTTAATTACGATATACGATGCAAAATTTGAGGCGGCAAAGCTTCGAAAAAGATGAGTCTGGCAGTAGCAAAGTTAGACCACGGTAAGGAATAATAGAAGCATTTAATTGGCTGATTTTTTTGCAATAATGTAATTGGAAAAAATTATTTGAAATAATATGTTATAGAGATTATTTTCTCGAAATAGTACACATTAGAGTCATATTAAACTTTCTGTGTCTCTTCAAAGTCGTATAGAACACCATGTGATCCTCCTTTCTCATATCACCATACGACTTTCTCAGGTTGTATTTTTCAATAATATAAGCTTTTTACTTTGTTATATATATAATAAAATTTTGAATTTATTATTGGGGAAAGTATGGTGGTCCAGGAAGAAGAGAGTCGCATGGTGTTCCTTGTGATCTTGGGGAGATGCAGAGAGCTTAGTGCGACTCCGATTTGTACTGTAACATTCATCCTATTCGAATAAATAATTTCTCGAGTGTATTATTCAAATAATTTTTTTCGACTACATTATTGCAAGAAAATCACCCCAGTTAATTAGTGCCTGTATAAAGGTTTAGATGATTGAAGTCAATAGAAATATATAAATATATGTGAGAAGAAAATACGACAGAGAGAAAGAGTGAAGCTTAGCAAAATTTGATGGTGTTTGTAAATTAGTCACAGTTAATGTTAATGTTTGTATTTGTATTTTAGTCATTGACGGATTTTCGTAGGGGTCAGGGAAGCTTCAGCTCCTGCTATTTTTTAATTATTAATTAATATTAAAAATATATAATTTAAAAAAAATAAATAAAGAAAAATTTATTCGATCCTCTCAATTAAAAAATTATATTTCTGAAAAGTAAAAAATATTTTAACCCCACCTTAGAAAAATTTATTCGTCCTCCTCAATTAAAAAATTATATTTATAAAAAATAAAAAAATATTTCAACCCTTATCTTAATAATTTGGAGATCTTCTACGGAAGTTGCTCTCAATCTGGTGTTGGGGGCAACCTACTATCTTACCTCCCCTTACCCCATTACATATGGGAATAAGGGACAACCATTTATCTTAATAAATTTCTAGTTCCGCCCCTGATTGTAGTTCGGATTAATAATAGAGTGTGAATTATCAAAAAATTTAGCTGACTCTATTCCCATATGTAATGGGATAAGGGGGAGGTATGATAGTAGGTTGCCCCCAACGTTAGGTTGAGAGCAGATTCCGTGAGAGACCTCCGGCAGTCAGAATTATCAAAGTGTACTGAATGTTCATTCACGCTTCCAACAATACATTATAAATGATAAGGCACCATTTAATTCAAAATATTTTATTAATTATATTAATAATATGTAATTTTATACATTATCAGTTAATAAGATAATAAGACATCATAAAAATTTAGAATTAAGTTTTCTTAAAAATCAAGGGTATAAATGATTTTCTAAAATGATGAAGATCAATTCTAGAAGTTTTAGAATAATTTGAAAATTAACTATATGATTTGTTTGATTAAAAAAATTTAGACACAAAAAACAATAAATTAATTTAATATGATGAGATATTAAACTCTTTAAATAGATTGAAAATTTGAATCTTAACGATTACAAATAAAATAAATTAAAAAAATCTTTTCATAATTAACTTTTACAAAAGCTAGTCTAAAATAATTGATTAATATATCCAATATCAATAATTAAATAATAAAAAAGTTAGGCACGCATGTTATTTTCTTCGGGCAAAAGAAGAATTATATATACAGTACTATTCCTACCTACCTACCGCCACTAGCAATCATTTCAATTTGTTATTTGTCTTCCATCAAATCAAACCGGGTTGGTGGAATCCTTTGAACTGCTCCCACCATGCACCACAAATGCATTAATTTAAACTGCATCCATCTTTATTTAATTATCTAATTATTTTTATATTTTTATTTTGATCATTTAATTATATTTTTTAAAATTATATTTTATTTTAATAGAATTATTGATGTAATATTTTTAATTTTTAATAATGCTATAACATTATTTTATAATAATACATCAATATCATCATATTAATTTTTTAATGGCAGGTGACCAAAATATAATAAAAACATAAATTTAAATATGATTTTTAGAAAAATAATTGAATAACTAAAACAAAACCATCAAAATAATTGAATGACTTAAATATGTAATTTACCCTTAATTTTGTTGTCACTCCATTGTTTAGTGTTTCCTCAATGATTTTCTTTATTGTATATATACGCATTTGTTTATATATTTCAAAAGATAATCCTTTACGGATTATTTTATGTCAAAAAGGAGAAATTAAAATAATGATAATAATATTATATGAATATTTTTTTATAATTATCAATATTTGATCTATTAATAAAGTAATTTAGATCGGATATTACAGAGGCGATGGCGACCCTACCAATGCAATTTTCTCTATTCACAAACGTCATGATTTAAACTACTAACTTTACTTAAAAGATTTAGTGTTTCATCCTACTAGACCAATTAGTTATTGATAAATACTACATGAATATTAAAAGTAAGCTTATCATTAGACTTATAATCGTTACATTAGTGGGTTAACAAATAATCATTATGATTAACATTAGTATTCGATCTTTGTTAGAAGGGTTAAGATGAAAACACTATTGTAAGAACAACATTAATATTAAAGTGGCCAAGTTAGAAGGGCTATTCTTGAGTATTTCGAACTTTTGTAGTGCGATTTTGTCTTCGTTCTTACAATAGTGTGTGTCTTCATGTGTTTGGTGCCACTTTATTATTAATGAGCATTTTTCTTTATTGATTTATGTTTTATTTGTTTGAATGGATACTTTATGCTTCAATATTCAATATATTGGCTTGAAGCAACCAATGAAGGAAACGTATGAAAATTTGCCAAAAGATATGGCGTATAGACGCCCACATCAACATGTAGACTCAATGCTCACATGAATCCATTTGTCAACATGATATTCTTTCTCATTCCTTTACTGTGTTATTAAAAATTTTATTATTAAATAATTGAAAATATTTCATAACAGATATTACATTGTAATCGTCTTTTATTAATAAAAAATATTTTATTTGCTGGATAAATTACAATAATGATCACTCTTATTTTAATTTTATTTAATGATTTAAAAATATTTTAGTTATTTATGCTATTAATTTATTATATTTTGGTCATTGAGTTTTAATTTCGATTATTTTATTGATGTGATATATTAATAAAATAGATTAATTTTAACTTGACTTCTAAATTAAAAAAAAATTAATCTAACTTATAAACTTCAGATAAAATATCAATTTAATCCTTGAATTCAATCAAAGTCTCGACTAATCGATCATGATTCACCACTTTCGTCTATCATCGCTATCCCAAATTTTCTAGTTCACTCTTGTTTGATATCATGAATACAAATTTAGTATTCACTTCATCAAAAAAAATAATGTGAACTCCATAAATATAACCTACAATCCTTAGACTTTCTTTAATATTAAGTAATAATAATACATTTATCATTAACTTAAAAAACACCAAAAAACTAAATCTATATCATAATTTAATTCATAAATTCTCAATACTATTATTTTATTGAATAAGTAATTATAACTTAAAATTAAAGTATAGCAGTAAATTTTAATAATAAGTTTTTAAGATAATTTTAAACATTTAATATTATTTTCTTTTATTTTTCCTACAATTACGTACTAGCACTAACACAAGTCCACATGTTGAAGATGCTAATATGCACACGACACATTCCAAAAAAAAAATAATATGCAAACGACAATAAGTATGAAACTGCAGCCTCATACCGAATTCACATGGACCCTACATTCCCATGGATTTTATAAAGGGGTTGTTAAGTCTAATGGCAAGGATACCATCATAGTGGGAGCTGAATGAAAATTTAAAATTATAGAAATTTATTAACTTAATATAAAATTTTATATTCGTCCTGATTAAAGTGTGGTGGTGGATAGTGGGTAAGAAAATTCATTTTGCTACTTAAACTAATAAAAATAAGTCGATTATATGCGATGCAAAAAATATTAAAGATACCCAACAACGAGAGAACCACAATCACCAATACTCTTCTTGTTTCTTTCATACTATGGACTAAAATGAAACAAATGTCAAATGTAAAGGCTAGAATAATAAATATTAAAAAATAATGTGCTAAAATTAAATAAAAGTAAGATAAAGGCACTGGAATGTAAATATTGAAAAGAAAGTTGCAATAACTAATGGAACTGGAATGTAAATTGCAGGAAGTTAAAATGCTGAAATATAATTTGCTCCAAAATTAAATAAAGGACTAAAATAAAATAATTGCAAAAATTAAATACAAATTGAAATAGTGTGAACTGCAATTAAGAAAAACAAGTAAAATGAAAATCAAAGCGCTCAAATTAAAAGAACATAAAATAAATAATAATAACTAATAAGCAAATAAGGAATTAAGGATTAATAAATCAAATTATAAGCTGAAATGGAAATAAAGAAGGGACTAAAATGGGAAGCATCCAAAGGTGGAAAACATATACATGGAAATCGAGAAGAAAAGAACTTGTACATTTTAGGGTCCAATATTAGCCCGAAAGAAAACGGCACAGATCAAAAGCAAAATATTATTGAAGAAAAGGGTGCCCAAGAGTACGACGACCCAAGTCGCAACTTGCAACCCACGAGCCGTAGCTTGAATTTCCTTAAAATTAAAATATAAATTAATCGATTAATAAATTAAATATTAATAAAAAAATCACAAAGAGCGTCGGAATCAACCGACCCCTTACAACTATCAACATGTGCAAATTGACCATTTAATAATAGAATAAAACTAAACAAGAAAAGGATTAAAACACAATCAAGCCACTCAGATAATACATACAAATATTATTGTTGATGGTGAATAATACACACCATCAACATGAACATAAAAATACATATAACAATAATAACTTATTGATAAATTAATCATACCAATACTTAATAATGACCTATTTTTATGTACCAAAGAATAGTGACTTATTTTTTATGATTGTGAATATCTATTAATACCCAATCCGAAGATATAACGTAGAAATAAATCAATTACATAACATAATAAATGTTATCTGAAGATACAAACATTAAATCAAACTCTAAAAAATGTATTATATATATATAATGTGCTAAACAAGATAAAATCATTCACTACTTTAAAAACAAAACAGAAAGACAAACATAAAAATTTAAATTAATATAACTTAAAATAATATAATATAAAGTCTAGAGAAAGAAGGGGAAGGAATTAAACAAAAAAGAAATAGAAGAGTATGTAGTCGACAACGGATTTAAAGTTAGTGTTGTCACCATCGATGAACAAATGTAGAGAGACATTAGTCGAATGCTCAAAATCATCTTACTCAACAGCAGGGTTGGACTGAGAGAGTAGGTGGAGATGATCACTCTTTTTAAAAAAATTAATTCTTATGTATTTTAAATATATTTTTATATTTTAATTGAAAATTTATTTTCACCCTTATAATTTTATAAGATTGACTCCGTTTAAAATTTTATAAATTTATCCTCTCTTATATCCGTTCTGCTGTATTTCTATGAGTTGAATGAAGCTTACTATGTTGTAAGGGTTCTACTATCGCAATCGTTAAGAACTATTAAAGTGTTAACTAAGTATAAACTTTATATTACAAACGTTAATATATATTTTTATAATATTTATATTTAATTTCATAAATCATAGTTTAATAAAATCACTTTATATTACAAACACTAATATATTTTCAGCAACATTTCTATAATTATTTGTCTCTTGAAAATTATTTTAAATATATAAGATAATGCATATGATTATGTAATAATTAATTTACATATTATTTTAGCGTTTAAAATATGACATATATTCTAACTAAACTTGACATAAATAATATTAATTTCATATAATATATTTAAAATGTTTGTTTTTATAAAAGAAATATTGCATAACATCAAATATTAATAATGAGTTACCAAAATATGTTTTATATGCGTTTATTATATTTTAAATTAAAACCTTTCTTGTATCACCATATTAATAAATTTGAATATAATTTAAATTAATATATTATAAATTCTACAACATAATATCTAAAACAAATATATTATATTTTCAAATAATAATATAAAAAATAAATATTACACACATTTTAAAATAGATTGTATAAAATAAAGAAGAGTTAATATAAATCTAAACTTAAGTGAGGAAGAACCAAAAATAGCATTGGAGTTTAGTGCTCGTACTCTTATTTAAAAAAAATTAGCCTTTTTATTTTTTTAGATTTAAAAATTTAAGTTCAATTGTTAAAATTATTAAAATTCTTTTGTAAATTCGTTGATGTGACTTATTAAAATAAAATAATATACAGACTTATAAACCATATAATAAAAAAATGATGTTGTAATGAACTTAAATTTAACAATAAATTTTAACATTAACAACTGGACTTGACTAAAAAATAGGACTATATTCTAAATATACAAAGAGTACAAAGACTTGAAACATATTTTAACCATAAAATGCCAAACCCAGAAAGATGGTGAAAACGTGAACATAAATAAATGTTGTTTATCTTCTGGGTAGAGCCTTCTTGCATTCATCCTTTTATCATGTTGATGTGCAAACAAATTAACCAAAAATTCATAATAAATATATTTATTTTCAATGAAAATATATATACAAGAACTCCACTGGATATTATTTTAAAAAAATTATATAGCTATAATTAATCAGAATGGAAGAGTTTAGAAGAAACAATCTATTGCTGGAGCTGCCTTCTCAAGCTTAAACAATTCCATATCATTCTCCAATGGAGTCAAGTTCAAATCCAAGCATAAGACCCTTCTGCTATTAGATTTCTTCACAATTGCTGCCATCACTGCCTCGTCATGTTGGTCTTGGTTTTCACTCGAACCAGTCCTGTGCCTCCTCATGTGTCCCCCTAATGCTTGCCCGATCGCGAACTCGACCCCGCAGATTGAGCACTCGTGTGTCTTAGGCTTTGCCGGAGGTCGATTCTCGGCTGAACTATCATCTCCGTCAATAAGCTTCAGTTTCTTATGGCTAGCTCGGTGACCTCCTAGAGCTTGAAACGAACCGAACTGCCTATTACATGTTTTGCACTCGAAAACCCTAGTATGGTTGTTGTTGTTGAAGATGGCATGTTGATCATAAGTGTTCCCTCCTTGTGAAAGGAGCATCAAGCAATTTGCCAAAGCCAAATTATTCTCAATTTCACTAGGAAAACTTCTCTTCATATTGTTTTGGAGTGGTTGGGTATGGTGTGAAAATGCAAGTTGTTTTGGGGTATTTGATATGATTTATTTTCAAATAAAAAGAAGCACAATGGGGGTATATGTATTGGTTGGTTTGAGACTTGAAAGAGAGAAGAGAGAGAGAGATGGAAGTTTTGACTTTTAAAGTTGACCTTTTAGAATGACGTTTGTGCCCTTATTTTTAAATGTTTGTTAAACAAGTTTGATCATTTTAGGTAAGATTATAAAAGTAAGGGTAGACTACCTATTTGGTCACCATCTTATTCTCATGTTTCTATTTTAGTCATTCAATTATTTTTTTTAAATTATATAATATTATGTTTCGTTTTAGTTTTAATACAATTTAAAAATAATATAAATTACTATAAAATTAATTTTTGACACATTACAAATAATATTTAAATGTTACCACATGTTTCATCCTTAAAATATAATTTTGGTTATTATATATATTAGTTACAATGTATTATATGATATTGGCGTGTGAAGGGTTTTGAGTGTGAAATGAGTTCCACTTGTGCATGCGTCTGCATGACCGAATTGCTGAGCCAAGCCTCATGGATCGAGCGAGTTGGAAGTCTTTCTTGACGAGTTCGAGTCTTCAATTTCATACAAGTTTCACACCTTTTATTATTATTATTATTATTATTATTATTATTATTATTATTATTATTATTGATGCATTTGCATCCTTATCACATATGCTAAGAAGTCTTTTACAAGTAGATATAACATATTTGTCATTAAAAGGAAAAAAAGGAAACGAAATTTTGTGAAAGGTTCGTTCAAATCTCATCTTATACCGATAAAATATGAGAAGAATGACCCAACCCTTAACTTTAATAATAGGGTAAATTATAAAGTTTTTACTCAACTTTCTTCTCACTTCTATTTTGATCATTAAAGTTTTTTAAAAAATTAATTTACTCGTTGAACTTTCAATTTACTTCTATTTTAGTCACTTGAGTGTTAAATCATAAATAGAAGTGTGACATGACAGCCACATGTGCTGATGTGAATTGTTTTTTTTTATTGAAATTGAATCCATGAGTCATTCACACCATTTTTTTATTTTATTTTCTTCCTCCAAAGATGAAAGTTTTATAGTTTCATTCATGTGTCATGCTGACATTGCAATTATCATTCTTGGGTGTCTTCTCCGACCACAAGATATTGACAAACTCGTTTCATTATCTCCTACCACTCTATCTGTTTAGATTTGACCTAAATCACTTTAAAATCATAAAACCCAACCCTAAATTCAAAACTCATGAAACCATAAACCAATATGATCTATAATATCCACCATTCGGTTACTGTTAAATCAAGATATACAACTCGTTTCCTCGTTCTCCACATCCCCGCCATTGGGATTTGGAAGAAGATGTTTCATGAAAAAACAAAAAAACAAATTGAAACTAAGTTTTTTTTTTGCAAGTAAAGAAAGTTTTGACACCATTTCATAGTTTTAAAAAGAAAAAGGTATATTCAAATATTAAGATTTTAAATTTGAGTGTCAGTATATTCAAATATTATATACGAATTAAATTTTTTCTTTATATTAATTTAAGCCCGATAATACGTGGACATGTTTGAATTCTAACATTTGGATTTTATTTGTAGATAAAAATAGGATCGATGTATAATTTCTAGATGAAATGTGAATATAATTTAATATTTTAAAGGGGCAAAATCTAAACTAAATAATTTGTTCATCTATTGTTTCGTCATCGCTTATTTGATATTTCACAGACGAAATTGAAAAAGAAATAATAATAAAAACCCAATTTAATAAAATTTCACAATAATCTTCCGTTTGAATAAAAATGTCGTGTCAAACAATCCACTCTATTAGCGACGACTTCGTCCTGAATTTTTGAGCTGCCACTATTTACGTGTCAAACACTCAAGAGACACAAATACGTCCGGGCACATTAAATCCGTCGCCAAAAGTGTTTCTTTGTTTGCTTTTGCTTAATTTTCCATGTTTCAACTAATGGGAAATTCTAGAGACAGTTTAATTTAAAGTAAAAATGATGTTAGATGTAACTGAAATTGCGATAAAAATTATAATATTTTAGGTTAGATACAATTTAAAATATTATATTTTCTCTAATATTTTAGGTTGAACATAAATTTTTTCAATTGACAATCGAAAATGTTACATTTTTCGTAAAATTTTAAGTTCAATCAAAAATGTTAGTAGAAAAGTAACATTTTAGGTTGCTCAAAACCTAAAATGTTATGCTTTTTTTATCATATTTTCAGTTATGTCTCATAATTATTGTTATTTAGTCTTAAATTTGATTGTCGCACATCAGAATCACTCCAATTTAGAGAATGATACCAAATGGATATTTTTTTTCATCAGGATTCAAACAATTTTATTTGTAAGTATTCATTCCCTTGTTATATAATCTAATTAAAAGAATAAGAAACAATTATAGATTTTTAAAATTTAAATTTGAAATCTTTTTTAAATCAACTATTAGTATACAATTAATTTATTGACTAATTTAGATTTAGTTTTATTAAGGCTTATTACGAGTGACCCTTCCAACCTAGTTTACTCCATTCACAATCACCAAGATATGAATCTCTAACATTACTTAAAGAATTGAATGTATTATCCTACTAGATCAATTGGTTGTTGATTAAATTCAAAATTTTTAATTATATATTATATTATTTGAAGTTCTATAAGTAATTAGTGAGAAAAGTAGAAAACATTTTTAAATTAAAGAGGTGACAAAGGAGGGGAACGAGGGGTGGTTGAACAAAATATTATAACAAAACAATATAGTGGCGGCTAGTCAATTTTTGAAGCTGATTATGACTTAACTCAAAGCCCTTATTTTTTTCAATTATTTGTTAAGTATGTTTAATTAGTGATTTTTGTTAATAATTACTTACATTTCAAAGTAAACTCTTTTAGTTGACGTGGAGTAGACATTAAACTTTGTCCAAAAACAAGTTCAAATTGTAATTAAATATAAGTGATGTGGCATTCAAAAATATTATAATTATATATTTAGTCACTATTACTTATATATTTTATCAATTTAATTTTAATTTATGTTGTCATTTGATTGAAGGAAAAATAAATTGAAGAAGAATAAAATTGGGGGAAATCGAATTTGGTAGCTTGAGGGGTAAGTTGAGGTTCCTTAATCACCGGGCCAAACCCCCATTTAATATAAAGGAAATAAAAATCACATGGAACATAAGAGCACCTAAATTACTCAAACAAATCCATTTATATATTTTTAAATTACAGTTAATACAATATTTTTAAATAAAAATGAATATTTTTCCTTTTTCACGTTGATAATTCAATATATAAAATTATACTAAAAATTCATTTAGTGTCTAAATTCATAAGCATGATTCAAATTGTAAGAAAATTTGTAATTTGAATCTTAAATTTTGTTAATTGAAGGCTTCTTGGAGAATTATTTTCCAGTCACCTAGAGTCGATTTTAATCCCGTTAATGTTATAACTTAAATTATACATTTCGGAGTACACAATCTAATAAAAAATTAACTAAAATATAAATTACGTATACATTTTATTTTTAATAAAAATAAAAATTATTAATTAATTTAAAAAGACGTAATTTATATATATATATATATATATATATATATATATATATATATATATATATATATATATATATATATATATGAAAGTATAAAAATAAATGTGGAAAAATAAAAAATATCAAACCTTTTTAAATGTAATTTTTAAAAATATTATATTAATCAAAAAAATTGAATTTATATGAGATATTATAGATAATATCCAAACAATCCAATAATAATAAAAAAACTAACTAAATAATAAATTTAGTTGTCTAGCAAGCTTTCTTATTTAGATATACATCAGTTAAAGATAATTTATCATTTTACTACTCATTTCATTTTATTTTTTAATTTAAAACCTTTTTGTGTCACGTAAGTGAAAGATACTTACGGTAAATGCTTGAAATTTGTATTTTTCTTTCATATTTTGACCTATAATTTCTTTTTTTTTTCATTTTAGTCCAATTTTAAAAATTATGATATTTTTGTTTCATGCAAGTAAAATGCGCTTCCTACATAAAGTGTTTTTCAAAAGTCGCTTTCCAGGAGACACTTTTTTTTTTTTTTGCAAGAAGCGCCTTCCGTTTACGTGGCACAAATGGATCAAAAAAAATTTAGTTGAACTAAAATGAAAGAAAAAATATAGGTAAAATATGAAAGAAAATTATATAAATTTTATCTAAAAAAATATATGTGCACGATACATGTCGAAAACATGTAATTGTATGTACAAGTACAAGCTTGAGTAGGGTCGAGCGGCGATGCACATGTATTAGTCCATATTGTTTAGATAATGAGTTTGCAAGCGTTTATTTATTTTTTCTGATAATAAGACATACTTTGTATTATAATCAGGGTAAAAAGCATGACACATCAAAAGTCTCGTTAAAAAAATATTCTTAAACCTAAGTTGAGGAAAAAGAGTGTATATTGGTGTGAAACAACAAATATAATTACGGTTTGTTCTCAAAACGATGCCATTGCTAGCCTACAACAAAGGCTAGCTCTCCCAACGTCTTCGTCTGGGATTTAACTCAGGCGCTACTCGAACTAGCTAGGAATGAAACCAAAACGCACCAACACAACTTCCAGAAGAAGATACCAGACCTTGCTCCACAACGGGTCAACTGCAACCATAAAAGGAACTGCCTCACATAACTGCATCAAGCATTTAAATATAATATTTTAAATATGTATTTATTGAGTAATTGAACATAAGACTAATGCATGTGTGTCGTTATTACCGCCTAGTTGGTGGTTATGTAATTGTGCGTCTTCGATACACATCGTGTGCTTTGTTATTCAACAGCCACGTCACCTCATTAGTTAAATGTTAATGACAAATGACTTGATTAACACACTTAAATAATTAAGTGATCTTATTGACAAAATTTTGGAGTCGGTGATCAAAATAAAAATGGACAATAATTAAATAATCATATGAATAATTTAACCTTAATTAAAAGCCTATAGAAAAGGGACGAGGATAGCGTTTATATATAAGCTAATCAAGCTTATAGTATAATAGTAAGGGATGTTATTTTAATATTGATTAATATTAAAAAAAAGTTTAAACCCTTTTATCATAATCATATTTATTATTATTATTAGGGTTTCTAGAGAATTATGTTTTTTCATTATAAACTCTCCTATATGAAAATTATATTTAATAATTTTAGATTTGATATGAATCTTATAATAAAAATAATTAAATCATGATATATATATATATATATATAATAAAATAATATACAAATAACATGAAGATTATAAATTTAAAATTTATTAAACTGTTAATAAATTAAATAAATACAAATATAAATTATCAGGTGAAGATATAAAATTGTATATAATAATTATTAAAAGGAAATTAGCAGCATTCTAGATCATTGCAACTACGAGACTTTCTAGGAAGCTATAATCATCGATAATGTCACTTTAAAACGACTTCTCGAATTGAAAGTGGCCACAAACACTGCATCGTTCTAGAAATTTAGGGTTTAATTAATTTTCAAAAACAGAAAATCCCAAATGCCGTGTAATTGCAGTGCTTCACTTATTATTATAAGCGTATATACGTGACATATTTTATTAAATTTATTAAATTAATTTAGTACTAAAAGGAATATTATTTTTTTAAAAAAATTTGAATTCGAGTAATCATATTTATAAGATGTATGTATATTGTCAATGACTAATAAAAATTCTTAATAAATATTACATTATATCATCATATAATAATAAAATTAAAAAATGGATTCTCTCTGGGCGTACGTTAGCAGGACTAATAGATCTCCCAGATTGCTCCGTCGTTGCTGATTTTCTTTCCTCTTCTTGCGTTTCTAGCTATTTTTGGTTTGGCATCAGTGGGTTCTATGGATGCTACAGCTTCAAATTTGGATTGGAGGAAGCTGTTTGGGGGAATGTCTGATCAATCCCTAAACTACTTCCTGCCTGAGATTACGAAGGGGATCTCTATTGTTAAACCTCCAGCCGCCGTGATTGAAGAAGGAATTGCAGAGTGGAGTCATGCGGTGGTGGGTTAATTCATCGGAGCGGCCCCCAATTTTGGTTCAATGCAGAGAATAATTGGAATACTTTGGGGGAAGAATTCGACGGTTAAGGTAAGCTTGGCTAGCCCTAATCTCTATGTGTTTTCCTTTTCGGATGCGCCTATTAGAGACTGGGTGCTTGATAACGGGCCTTGGCATGTTCAAAATAAACCACTGTTGCTGAGGAAGTGGGAGCCAACCTGCAAAAGCTTGATTTAGACCTTAGAAGTATTCCTATTTGGTGCAAATGTTAACGTGCCTTTAGAGCTCTACTCCAGGGTTGGACTCAGTTATATTGCGAGTGATGTGGGTCGTCCTCTCTACATGGACTCCATTACTGCAACTAAGGAAAGACTTGAATATGCTAAAGTTTGGGTGGAAATAGGGATTGCTGCAGTAATTCCTGAGGCTATAAATGTGGCTTTAAGTGATGGTTCTATTGTTAGGATTCGTGTGTATGTGCCTTGGTTGCCTAAGATCTGCTCTCACTGTAGGATTTTTGGGCACCATCTTAGTGCTTGTACTGAGAATCAAGCTCCTTTAAAGTGTAAGGAAACTCAAGTGTGGAGGAGGAAAGTTGTTAATGACTCCTCTATAATCAATGATAAGGAGAAACAGTTAGAGAGCACTGAGGGGTCTGATTTGGGTCAGGTTATTTCTTCTGGTTGCCCTGCTGCAGCTATCACTGAGGGAAGTACTAAGGGACTGGAGCTACAGGTAGGCACTGCGGAGGAGCTGACTATGGAGGCCTTGCAAGAATGCAGTGAATATATTTCCAAAGAAATGGCTGCTCCTGTTAAGGTTGATGTTAAAGGGGTAGAGCAGGTAGCTAATGCTGGTGTGGTGAGGATGTATAAACCAAAAACATCCCTTAATCAATATGGTGGTGAGTTTCGCTCCTTACAGGACTCATTGAACAAGAAGAAGTCTAAGGGGAAGAAGAAAGATAATTATGGTTCTACCAGTAAATTGGAACAATTGACTGAAGTGAGAGGGTTAGAAGGCACTAGGAAGCCTAGAGCTGCTGCTTTGGGTGTTACCTTGCTTCTTAATGAGATCAAAGCTAAGAAAAAGGATATGATTGAGAAGGTTGCTGGAAGTGGAGCTCTTCCTAACCATGCTTCATAATTTACTCTTTTTGGAATGTAAGGGGTATCAACAATACCCTTAAGCAAGGAAAGGTGGTGAAGAGGTTAGAGAATATTGGAGTTGATGTGGCTTGTTTTATGGAAACCAGAGTCAGAAGCACAAATAAGTCTAAGTTGTTTTCAGGCATTACTGATGAGTGGCATAATGCTGCAAATTATGAGTACATTGATGGTGGCAGATTATGGATCATGTGGAAGAGAAGTTTGTCATTTTTAGTGTTAAGGGGCTGTGATCAAGCCCTTTCCATTATAGGAGATGTGGTTGGTCACAGGGTTTTTATTACTGCAGTATATGGGAGTAATAACAGCCAGCAGAGGAGAGATCTTTGGGAGCATTTGAGAACTTTGGAGAGTGAGATTGGTTCTATTCCTTGGGTGATTAGAGGTGACTTCAATGTCATTGTTAAGGCCCAGGAAAGCTCATATTATTCTGTTTTAGGTTTAGATGTCTCACTTGAAATGGAGGAGTTTCAGGGGTGCATAGTTGACTTGGAGTTGCAAGACCACCCTTTTGTGGGCCCTACTTTTAAATGGTCAAATAAGTAGGAGGGTCATACATGGCCAGGAAATTGGATAGGATCATGATTAATGCTCAGTGGTTGTTGGAATTTCCAGATTCTTTGCAGAATATAAGGCTCCTGGTGTATCAGACCATTGCCTTGGAATTCTTTGGACACAATAGGGTATTCAGGCCAACAGGCCAAAGCCCTTCAAGTTCTTCAATTGTTGGACTGCAAATGTGAATTATTTGAGCAGTGTGAGGGATTCTTGGTTGGGAAATAGTGGGGGTAATGCTTTGCAAGTGTTGTTTAGCAAGTTAAAGAGACTGAAACTAGTATTAAAGGAGTTGAACAAGCAGCATTATTCTGACATTTCTGCTAGGGTAATAGCTAGAGGGCTAAACTGGAGCATGTTCAGATTTCTAACCTAGCTAGGGCAAATCAGTGTGGAATTGAAGAGGAAAGAAGAATCCAGTCTGATCTGGTTAGTCTGGAAATTGCTAAATTGGAATTTTATAGGCAGAAAGCCAAGTTGCACTGGTTTATAGCAAACTTATTGGAGTAGCTGACCCCTTGGTTTAAGGATGTCAGATTGAAGGGTTGGGGGACCTTCTGAATTATTCCTTGCCTGCTGGAGATGTCAGAGTCCTTGTGGGGGAGATTACAGACATGGAAATTAAAGAAGCCTTGTTCAGACAAGGAAAAGATAAAAGCCCTGGCCTGATGGATATACCTCCTGGTTTTTCAAGACTGCTTGGGGAATTGTTGGTAATGACTTCCTAAGTGTTGTGAGGTATTTCTTTCATTCTTCTTACCTCTTACCAGCTTTTAATGCAACAACCATTATCCTTGTGCCAAAATCATTGAATGCTTGTAAGGCAAGTGATTTTAGGCCCATATCCTGCTGCTCTGTTGTCTATAAGACTATTACTAGGATCTTGGTCACTAGACTTGCCCAGTACTTCCCTGACATGATCTTAGTTAGTCAGTCAGCTTTTGTAAAGGGCAGAAGCATTACTGATAACACTTTATTAGCTCAGGAGATTATTAAAGGATATTCTAGGAAAAATCTTTCCCTAGGTGTGCAATCAATATTGATCTGCAGAAAGCATTCGATTCGATTAATTGGGGTTTTATGCTTAATGTTCTTGAAGCTATTGGTCTGCCTGCTTTATTTTGTGATTGGATTAAAGCTTGTGTAACAACCTTAAACTACTCAATTACTTTGAATGATAGTTTAATGGGGTATTTCAGAGGTGCAAGGGGGTTAGGCAAGATGACCCACTGTCTCCTTACCTTTTTGTTATGGTTATGAATGTGCTTTCCTGTTTGCTAGATGTTGCAGCTAGAAATGGAATTTTCAAATACCATCCTAGGTGCAAAAGAATTTCTCTCACCCATCTATGCTTTGCTGATGATTTACTGCTGTTTTGTTATGGATCTATGGATTTTGTGTTGAGTGTTGTAAGTGTCCTAGATAAATTTTATGAGATGTCTGGACTAAGGTTAAATGCTTCTAAGACTAAGATTTATACTTGCAGATTGAATGGTGGTGATTTAGAGCAGATTCAGTGTGCAACTGGCTTCCGTATTAGTCAACTCCCTGTTAGATATCTGGGGGTGCCCCTTGTAACTCGTAAGCTCACGGGGAAAGATTGTATTGCACTTGTGGTGAGAATTAAGGAGAAGTTGAGGCAATGGTCAAGTAGGAAATTAAGTTTTGGTGGAAGGCTGCAGCTAATTAAAATAGTCTTGTTCAGTATCTTTAGCTACTGGAGCAAGCAACTTGTCCTACCAAAAGGAGTGATTCGGGACATTGAAAAGTTGTGCATGCGTTTCTTTTGGAAAGGTAATGATGTCTCAGTTAGGCGGGCTAGGGTTGGTTGGAATCAAATCTGTTCACCTAGATCTGAAGGAGGCTTAGGGCTATTGAGTCTGGCTGATTGGAACAAGACATGCTGTTTGTTGCTAGTTAAGAACATTCTTGTTGATGCAGGCTCTTTGTGGATTGCCTGGATTAAGGCCTATTGTTTAAAGCATGAGGACTATTGGAGTGTGGGGAATAAATCCCATTTCAGCTGGATACTTAGGAAATTGATTAAATTGCGTGAAGAGGTCATGGTTATGTTCCCAGATCCTGTAAGCTGGACACAGGTCAGGGGTCGATGGGAGTGGGATAGAATCCGGAAGAAAGAATTGAGTGGAATGGCATCGTCTTATTTGGTTTCCTGCTCATGTCCCAAAATTTCTCTGATCACATGGATGGCAATCCTTGATAGGCTGCCAACCAATGACAGACTTGCTCGGTTTGGAGTGGTGACTGACCTTGCTTGTGGGTTGTGTGGGACTGGTTTGGAGTCCAGGAACCATTTATTCTTGGAATGCTCTTACTCGAGAGCAGTCTGGGATTCTATTTTGCACGTGTGTAGGCTGCAGCATCAAGGATTAAGCTGGGATGATCTTATTTGCTGGATGACTAGCAATTGGAAGGGTAAGTCCATGCTAGTTCACGTTCTGAAACTAGCATGGATTGGATTTGTCTATTTCATTTGGGAAGAACGCAACTATCGTGTTTTTAGGGGATTGTCGCGTTCGACAGATGCTATTGTAAATATTATAAAAGGGGCTGTTAGAATTAAGTTGTATAGGCATGATATGAATAGATTGGATAGGGTAAATATACAGCTTTGTAGTGATTGGAGACTCATATAACAATTTGTAATATGTACTTTGTAGCAGCTTGCTGCTTTCTTTTGGATGAATAGATTGAATTATCCAAAAAAAAAAATCATCATAATACTAAAAATAGTTTTATTTATTTTTAATAAAATAAAACATTACATTCTTTAAAACAATACTTATGATTCAAATTTTGGTTTTTTTAATACCAATAGTGGGCAAAGAAATTTCTAAAATTTGTGTAACAAAAAAAAGGAAAAAAAAAAGGAAATTGCTAATAGATGATAGTACAAACTTATAGTGTGATACAATTCTAACATGTTAATTATTTTTCGAATTATAATTTATGAATCGTTTAGATTATTTTAGGCATAATAGTTCCCGACTTTTATTAGAGTAGTTATTTTGGGGCAAAAAATCTCTCAATGAATGGAAATCATTAGTTAACAAACGATTAATGATTCAAATAGGTGGCCGTTTACAATAAATAAAATGTTAGGGGCTAAATTGCTCTAAAAATAAAATTAATGGTCAAAGTAATTATTTAATCAATATTATGAAACTTTTTTTATTTAAAATAAGACATTATAGGTAAATACTTTAAAGTATAAATCAAATGATTATTCTGACGATCGTTGAGTTAATTTTAAGGTTATGCCAATCTTTTTATATGCTTATTATCCTCCATAATGTTGTCATTGCGATCACTTGCAGACTGGTTCTTTGAATTTTGATAAAGTATCGTCATTGTTATATGATTATTACCCTCCTAATATTGTCTTTGCGATGACTTGCAGACTGGTTCTTTGAATTTTGATATCATAGAAATTTATAAGAGAAAACTACTTTTCTGGTCATTTAACTTTGACGATATTTTTTGTTTTGTTCACTCAAATTTTAGAAATTTCAATTTCATTCCTAAACTTTTAAACTTTGCTCATTTTAGTTACTCAGCCTTTAAGTGCCAAACACCAACACACAAACACCGTGTATTAGGCCTTTTTTGTTTCTAAAATGTTCTTAAAATTTTAAAATTCTTCTTCCCCATGGTCGGAATCCTTTTCCATCGCCTTCGATAGTCGTTTGCCATGAAATTAGTACCAAAATGTTCCCATTTCTTCCCTCTTTCTTATTCTCAATGTGATTTTCATCGAAACTGACAAAAATCAAATCAAAACTTTGACCTTATCTTAGTTTTATTTGTAATGTCTACCATCTAATCAATATAGATCGATACATGTTGCTTTTCTCCTCTCCCCATCATTTAGATGTAGAAGAAAATAATCCAACATCAATAAATTAGAAGGAAATTAGAAATTAGGGTTTGAAAAGAAAACTTTAGGACTTTTTGGATAGATTTATCAAAAAAAAATATTACTGAAGACTTGATCGAGTACCTAAAATGAGTGAAATTCGAAATTTTAGTGACGGAGATGAATTTTTTAAGTTGAGTGACCAAATCAGAAATATGAGAAAAGTTGAGTGGCCAAAAAAGTGGTTTATCAAATTATAAACATAAACTAAACTAGTTTGAATTTTGATTTTTGAGCTCATTTCATATTTCAAATTCTAAACATATTAATATAGTATTTTATATTGTTTTAACTATTTTTTAGATAAAACTTATATAATAGTTTGAATATTTTATTTTTAAGAAAAATAAGGAAATTTTATTTAAAATATATTTTTTTGGTAAGTAAATTAGCTTAATATTTACAAAATTAAATTATGTAATTATCTACTTGTTTTCTTCAATATTTTTATTAGAATTTTTTATTAAATAAAAATTAAAATAGTTACACACAATTAGGAAACTAAGTATTAAAAAATTTAAAATGATATTTTTTCCTTGGAAGAAACTTAAGTATACTTAAAAAATGATAAAGTAAAAAATAGATTTAATTCAGTCCATTCGTGAAATATATATTATTTTATATAAAGAAATGATAAAATAGAGTGAGAATTATATGGTAAAGTAAGGAGGATAATAGTTCAATTCGAATATATTTATTTTAAAACTTATGATTATTTTTTTTAATTTTTAAATCAAGCTGAAACAAAATCGAGCATAAAGATAATCAAATAAAATCAAATCAAATTTTATGAGTTTAATTAGTTCATTTTAAAGTTTTTATAAATTAAATAAAAATATAATTCAATTAACATAATTATATCTAAACTGAATTAAATAAAATTAAATCAAAATTAAACCCAACCCTACAAATGAATAGATTTTAATTTGAGTTACTTGCATCATATGTCCTCAAACTATGATTCTCATTCTAAATTAATCCCCAAGCTTTTAATATTTTAATTTCATCCTCAAACTATGACCCTCATTCTAAATTGGCTCCCAAACTTTTAAATCTTTCAATTTTATCCCTAAATTCATCCAAATATAATTAGTTTTAACCATAGTTTACTTAAACGTATTTTTCCAAACATAATAATATACTTGGCCTAAAGATTTTAATAAATGTAATGCGATTAGTATATACATATAGTTTGGGATGAAATTGAAATGTTGAAAAGTTTAAGGACTAATTTAGAATGAATGAGATAGTTGGGGATGAAATAAATGTTCAAAGTTTGAGGACAAATTAAGATGATTATCATAGTTTAGGGATAATTTTGAAATATTTAAGTTTAAGGATCAATTTAGAAAAAAGATCATAGTTTGAGTACGTAGGATGCAATTAAACTCTTTTATTTTGCATTTTCTTCAAAGCCTATGAAAAGGTATTGAGTGGTGACTTTGATTATGACATTATCGATAGATTAATAGCTTTAAAATCAATCAATTAATTAATATGACAAGCAAATATATTGACTCTTGAAATATGACAATTTGTAAAGCTCTAACAAGTCAAATCCAATGCCCATCTTCTTGCCGCTGTTGCTTGCTAGTTTTAACTAGCCATGGTGATCTCAAATATTAATTTCAAAAAATTATATTTTTTATAATTTATAGAAAACTACATATTTAGTCACTCAATCATCACTTTGATTCCATGTTGTCACTAAACTATTATTTTTTTCTTTCAAAATCATACATAAAGTTCCGTTTTGGTCATCAGTCGTTAAAAAATTAACGGTGGTACCGACATGTTACCATAAGGTAATGTCACGTCAGTAGTTTTATTTATTTTTTAATGAAGGTTGACAAAAACGAAATCAAAACATTATGTATGATTTAAAAAAACAATTGAGTTGATCAAAATGGAACCAAAGTGATAGTTGAACGACTAAATATAAAATTTACCCTAATTTATATATCAATTCTCACGTTTAAGTCATATTTTATGAGATTATCTTTTAACCAAATTGGGGATTGAAACAAATTTCTATGGACTTCTTACCTAATACTCCACATGTATTATCAAATAATTGATTTTACACTGCTTCTGGAAAACCTGTCAAAATTTCGTTTTCTGGGGTTACTTGGATGAACGGTTTTGTAATGATATTGCACATAAAGTGTCAAACTTGCCATCAGCCGCACAATTTGTTGGTCGAGTTGTGAGACTTTTAGCTGTGATTATCCAAATTCAATTCCCTGTGATTTCAAATACCGGAAAAATAAGTGTCAAATATTGTTGCAAAATCTAGCTGCAGATTGTTAACTGCTGGTGTAGTTCTGTTGAGATAGTGCTTTTGGTCAATTATAATCGGAGAAGATATTGAAAGAGTAAACATAAATAAAATAAGACATAAATTGTTTATGTAGTTCAGAACGATTAGTGATCTTACTTTTACGATATTTTATGTAGTAGACGAAACACACTACTGTTGCCTTTAAAATAGATAAGATGCTCAGGTGAAGACCATATGAGATTATGACATGAGAAATGAGATTGTAATAATTTATGATGATTTTATTCTTCTGATTTGAATGAAAATCGAAGACAATCAACATGTGAAAGAAAAAAAAAATAAAAAACAAACGAAGTGGATAATGAATAGTCGTTTGAGAGAGATTGAGGGAGAGGGTGAGTCCCTTCTTTGATCTTACATATGATTTAAGGTTAAATAGATTTAATATTATCTTTTGAGGTCCCGATTATCAAACAAAATTTAGAATGTTTGAAAGAATTCCTGAAACTCTAAAGATTGATAAATGAAAATATAACAATAGAAATATAATTTACAGAAAAAATATAAAGAAAATACAAAAAAAACCTAAACTCATTTTGTAACACCCCCAACCCGTATCCGACCCGGATACGAGTCCGAAGTGTCACATTGACTTTTCAAACCTTGACTCTTAAGAAAAATCCCGGGAATTTAAACTTTATTTAAAACAAAATACAGACTTTATCAGAGTGCTCGTACTTAATGACTTATTACATGCCAACACTTATAATAACCAAAACATACTTTGTCAAATATTTCTGATCTGATCTTTTGGTAAGGAAAACTGACCTGTCTTGCTCCGCATCACTCCTTACTCTTCTCGAAACCTACGTGTGAAACAATCACACGCTAAGTCGAGACTTAGTGAGGCATAACAACTTAATGCACTTTAAAACCTATATTGATACATGCATGTTCTGTTATCATGTTACAGCAACTTCATGCATTTTTCATATCGTATAAAATCATCAGATTAATTGCAGTAAATACATGCATACACATAGTTCATCATTAACAGTTTATCATATAATCACATACTATTTCAATCAAACACTATACACACCACATCATATCATTTCTATAGCATTTATCATACCACTAACTTATATTTGTTCATATTCTGGATTAGCCCATGTATATATGTGAGAACTATCGATATGTGAGTCTATAGAGGTTGTGCACTATGCTGTCACACAGCTCGTATAAATGCACCGAAGTGCCCCGTAGAATTGCACCGAAGTGCCCGTAGAATTGCACCGAAGTGCCCGTAGAATTGCACCGTAGTGCCATATAATGATGTCCATAAGGACCACGTAGAATTCCTTAAGAATCATATACATATGCTAGGGATCAAGTATGTGTCTTTCGAGACTTCACACATGTTCCAAAGAATACATATGTCCTAAAGAACCGAATAGACCCTCGACTCTTGGCATGTCAACTACCTAGCTCTCATGACACATAACATGGGCGTTATCATTTATTTCATTTTTATCATTTATTTCATTTCAAATATTCACTAAACTTGTAATTCACTTTCACATATCACGTATCACATAGCTTCTTTCATATGATCACATAGTCCCGTAGTTCACTTGCACGTAGATCATTTCCATATAATTCACATGTCACATATGTCATGTTTTCATATAATTTCTATCATTTCTCCAAATATTCATAAACTTGTAATTCACTTTCACATATCACGTATCACATAGCTTCTTTTCATGATCACATAGTCCCGTAGTTCACTTGCACGTAGATCATTTCCATATAATTCACATGTCACATATGTCATGTTTTCATATAATTTCTATCATTTCTCACCAATCACCTTTATTCATAAACATACTTATCATATCTGTTCACATAAGATCATATACTTCATATAATATATCGAAAACACCTAGAACACTTTCACGTAGCTTATAGTCATAAGTATCTCATAAACCTATACTTGTTTCACATATATATATATTTCATAGCATTCTTATACCATCACATAATTCCTTTAACATACATAACATATGTAACATTATAATAGCAATACTTATAAGTATATGCTATATCTTAATCTTATGCCTTCTCTTAAACATATATATTCACATGTTCAGGTAATTCACCATTTCATCACATAATTGTGTATTCATAAATCATTCATTTCATTTATATCTATC